GGGTAAATAAATGGGCGGGCCGACCCGGCCCGAAAAAAGTTAGGGACGAATCGAGTCCGACCCAAAACCCGCCCAGTCCGCCCATTTAGCCCGAAAAAATATTATATTATTAGATTTTTACTTTCATTTGAGATTGAATACCACATAACATTATATAAAAACTTTTTTTTGTATGTTATATATATATATATTTATATTTCAAAGCAATTTGATTAATATATATTAAACTTATATTATATATATATATATTATTAAACAATTTAATTAGATTTTGGTTTAATTAATTTATATATATATATATATATATATATATATATATTTATATTTATTTATATTTTATGAGTTTAACTTTAATTTTTAAATTCTATCTCAATGTTTTTCTATACTTTTTATTGTACCGAATATATTTTTCACATATTATATATATTAAAAATATTATATAATTTATATATTTTAAATTTTACATGATTATTTTTTAAATTTTAATCTTTTTAATTATAATTGATATGGATGAAAATTTGCTATTGTTTTTTTTAAATTGTTAAATTATTATTATTATTATTATTATTATTATATATTAATATTTATTTTTTATTAAATAGAAAAAACCCGAAACCTGGCCCGAACCCGCCCGAAGCCCTATAAGAACGGGCTCCGGACCACCGATTATAGGCCCGAAAAATAAATTGGCGGGCTGGTCCACTCCGAAAAAATCTAAGCCCGAACTAAGTCCGACCCGAACCCGACCCGGCCCGCCCATTTTGCACCCCTACTCTTAATTCTAGGTTGTTACCTTCTATATTGTTACCATACTGTATGTAATCAAAGGGCAAATTTTGTGCAGTGCTTTTTATGGGCCAATACGTACCCTATTGGGCCTCCTAAGCTGTAAAGAAATTTGGGCTTTAAAAGCCCAATAAGTCATCCTTTTATCCTCCTTTTTTTTTCTTGCCCTTTTCTCATTATTTCCTCTCGAGACAGGTCTGAACCTAAACATCGTCGTCTTCGATTTCCCGCGGTTCCTCGCTCCTGCTCCCACTTTCTCGCGTTGATAATTTCGAAGTATGAATAATCGTGCAACGAGCTTATTTATTTCTTAGATCAGACGGCGGCGAAGTTTTCCGACGACTTTTCTAACCCTTGAGACATACGGGAGGTAGGTTCGTTCAATCGTGGAACTAAATGATTTCTTTTCCTGCAATTGACTGATTTCCTCGATCTGATCGGATTAGGGCATCCTCTGAGTTATAGAATTTTTGTATGTTGATGGGTTTTGCCTCTCGGTTTCGTTTCGTGATGCGTCTGTCTGTGTGGTTCTGTTTTGCTGCTTGCCCCTAAGGGATTTAAGGGTTTTGGTGAAAGTGAGTGTTTGGGGTTTCTGATTCGAAAAGATTAGTCTTTCTCTGAAAGATTAACCAATCTCTGGGTTTTGTTTTGTTTTGTTTTGTTTTTTGCCAAGTTTCAGAAGGAAAACAATGGTTTCTGGATTGATTAATGCGAACCCAGTTGTTTACGAGAAGAAAGAAAGGTGTCTTCGAAGTGGCCCGAGCAGTACAGATGAGTATTCGGTCGAACCAATAGATCAACTCGAGATATTTGATATCCTTTTGTTATGCTGTTGCACTGTTTCATCGAATTCTGGGTGTGTTGGTGTGAAGTATTTCATTTGATAGTTTTATTCTCCAAGGTTTATTGAAGATAATTTTGGTCCAAAAAGGTTCCCCATTCTCGAATTTTACTAGCTTTGGGTTGAAGCAGAGCAATGGTTTCAGGACAACTTTCTATGCCTTTGCTTGGACCTTATGCATCTCTTTCAAAGCTGAGAACCTCATGTTCTAGTTGTATCTGTGTGACTTTTTTCGTATTTTGCTTTTGAGTACAATACAGAAAGTCGAATCATTTGTTTTTTTGCTGGGGATCAAACTAAAGGAATCTGTTGCATTAGTTCTTTCTTTTTCCTTAACGATCACAAACCATATTAGGGATATTAAAGATCCGGAGCATCCCTATTCTCTGGAGGAGCTCAAAGTAGTAACTGAAGATTCGATAGAGGTAGATGACGAGAAGAGTTATGTTAGGTAAGAGATTGGGATTGTATTTATGCCTTATTTTTTCTTTCTGAGATTAGTCCTTTTGGTTTCTCTCATGTTTGTCATATCTGCTAAGTCCCTGTCATTCCTTTTCCAGGGTTACCTTCACACCGACGGTTGAACATTGTAGCATGGCAACTGTTATCGGTCTTTGCCTCCGTGTCAAACTACTAAGGAGCCTTCCTCCTCGTTACAAAGTATTACCTTTCCGATACTTTGATCTTGTAAAGATATCATGATTTCTAGCTTTGTATAATTTCTGTTCTGTTCATGCATATTTCATCATTTAGGTTCGATTCTTGAAGTGCTCTGAAATAATGCCTCACTTAAAGCATATCGTGAACAATAACTTTGCTTTTGATTAGTTACATTACGTGCATAATCTTTTTCGGTGTTTTCTTGAGCAACAGCTGTTTTGATTCTTATTTTTGCTGAGAAATCTAGTTTCAGCCTTTGGTAGGTGTCATTATTTGTTATTCCTTTGTGCTCTTTAGCCCTTCATTTCTCTCCATTGTTTTCAGGTTGACATAAGGGTTGCACCTGGTAGTCATGCAACCGAAGCTGCTGGTATGTTTTTTTTTGTTTCTTGTCAACTTAAACTTGAGATTAAGGCGATGTTGATGTTGATGTTGATGTTTCTTATCAACTAAGATCAATGTTTATCCATGCCCTTACTAAGTGGTGGCAATGACGCTTTTGTCCTTACTCAAACTCAGATGCACACACAGTTCATGAAAATAGATCCATATTCCCCTTGAACATTAGCTTTCAGGTCATTGCTTTCCTGGAAATCTGCTGGAAAGAAGAGTACATTTCCCTTACATATCTACGTTCTTGTCCTGAAATGCAGTCAATAAACAGCTTAACGACAAAGAACGTGTAGCGGCAGCTTTAGAGAATCCAAACCTTGTGGATATGGTTGATGAATGCTTACTCCCATCTTATGAATGAAAGCTTTTGCATTCAAGACAACACCTGTAAGGTACACCACTATACTCAAATGGGTTATATATCCGTCCTTGTTTCGTGAGAGATTTTGTGATATGAGTTGCTCGGTTTAGGCGCATGGGCGAGGATTCGCTTTCATCATGCCCGAGTATTCGCCTGTTCTTAGGTTTTCTTGGACACAAATGTTCTTCACTCTTCAGTGAAAAAGTTACAATACAAGACAATGTACGGCTGTTGTGAAGTCACCTAAGATCTGTTTGTTGAGTGTGTTTTTGTCAAAGTTTAAAACTTTTCATTGTTTAATAATGTAAGATTAAGCCGTCTGATCCAAGGAAACATGTGAAACAAGAAGCCCTTAATGTTTCTCTAATGTAATGATTCTTCCACTCAATCAAAGCCATTGACCCCCCTCTTCTTGTGATGGTTGTGAAACCAGAGATGCTTTTCATGTCATGCACAACTACATATTTAACAAAATAAAAAAAGAAAAATAAATAATATTTATTATATTTTGTCTCAAGAATTATTTATGTGACTTACCCATGTCTTTTAATGGGGGCTAGTAGCCAAATTTTTTACAGAAATGGAAACTGGGACTGGGGGAGGCGCTGTCTTCCACTCATTACAAGATCAGTGACTGTCTTAATTTGGAAAGCTTGTTAGATCTTTTTGTACTTCTCCTCCCACTCTCTTTGTTCATGTCTTTTCCATCGTTCACTTGTCTTCCACTCGCAAATTCACCTTTTGCCCCTTCATTAATCTTTGGCCGTGGCCCCCCACCCTCAGCAATATTATCAATCACATAACACCCATGAAAATATTTATATTTTAATTAATTATATAATAATATTCGTTAAATTAAAAGTCTATAATTCGACCAATGACACGTATCGTTTGTGTGTGTGTGTGTCTGTGTTAGGTTTTGATTGATCTTTTTTTTTCACACATAAAAACTTGTAGCTTTTGTTGTAAAGCTTGTTTTCTTCCTTTGATTTTTTTTTCTTTTGTAATATAGATCTCTATTGTTTTTTTTTTATCTGATGAATCTAATAAATACTTAAATTATCGGTTATGTAATATATATATATATATATATTATTTTTAACAAAAAAAAAATATGTAGATTATGCTAACAAGATTTGAAGCAACGAATCATTGAAATGTTGGATCCATACCCATAAATCTTCTCACTTGTATCGTTATTGGGCTCTTTCATGGCAACATAAATACATAAATTGCAAGTATTAATACGTGGATATATACAAGTGTATGTATGTAAAGTGGGCTTGGAGGAACAACATTTATGAAATTGATATATACATGTGCGTGTATATATATATATATATATATAATAAGTTGAGAGGCATGAGTTTGGAGTGTCGCATCGGACAGAGACATGAGAGATGTAAGATTTTTTTTTTCTTTTTTCTTTTTTTTTCCAAAGACGCCGCCCCATAGTTTTAATTTTGAGATCGCTTTCGCTAAGTAGCCATTGAGATTCCATGTGTTTCTTTCTCCTCCTTTAATTTCTTCGTATTTTTTGTTTAGTCAATCACGCTTCTCCTAAAGCTAATGTATCTAGAAACTTACTCTAAAACTTATTATTTATTAATTTATACATATATATATATATACATACATACATACCAAAGGTCTACACACACACATGTTGTCGCACTAAGACAAATAATAATGATAATCAAACTTGATCTTAACATGAGAAAAAGACTAGGTTTCCACGTCGATAACTTTCTATATATATATATAATACTTGTATCAACACTTAAATTGCCACGTCACCAATACCGGCAGAAAGTTGTAATCAGTCTTTCGGGGGTAGGATTCGAGCTTTCGTATTTTACTTGTTTTGTAAAATTATATAGTGTTATATTAGATAATTAGATTTTATTATATCTTGTTAATATTATATAATAATAATAATAATAATAATAATAATAATTCTCTCCGCTAAATTTTTTACTCAAATCTCGATCGAATACAATAATTCATTATAAAAAAAAACAAAACTGGATTGGCCGCATAATTAGAACCAACTACGTTAACTATAACTGCATTAGAACATAATTAACTAAATCGAGAATATTGTTTTTTGTACAATATAATAGAAATATATCTTTTTTACCCAAAAAAAATATAAATATATTAAGTATAAAGTTAATTAGTGTAG